AAGGGTATTCTCAAGGTGAAGGCCGGACTTTGTCTCCGCCAAAGACTGTGTGGTGGTCACTTCTATCGATTTAATGTCATGGTAAGTAGATTGGTGAGGACAGCTCAAGTATATTTTTTTCTTGTTGGTTCCCTCACCATCCAGACCCAGTCTAGCAGCAATATAAGGTTCTTGGGTAGATTTGTAGGTCGGGTTGTGGATGCTGTGGTTGGTTGGTTCGCTCACCGAGTGATTCATTAGTTTGCAGATGTTTCATTATCCTGGGTAACATCATCAGTGCAGCCTCCGATGAGGACTCCAGAGGCTGCATTGATGATGTTACCCAGCAGGGTAATGAAACATCTGCAAACTAATGAACCAGCTCAGTGAATGAACCAACGACAGACAGCAGCTATATCTTTATAGGATTTGACCTGTTTGTTTAGCAGTGGTACTCCTGGGTCACATTGAAGTCCACCACCCAGCATACATTGCCACCTTCAGTTTTTCCTCCAAGGAATGTTCAGCATGGAGGAGCACTGAGTCACCAGCTGAGGCAGGACAGTGCATCAGAATCTGCAGGGGATTTCCTTGCCGATGATTGACCTGATGCCATGAGTCTTCAAGGAGTTGGGAGTCCATGTTGGGGACTCCCAGGTCAACTCCCTCCTGACTGTATACCACGGTGCCACCATCGCAGCTGGGTGTGTCCTGCCAGTGGAACAGTTCATATCCAGGGATGGTGATGGTGTCTGGGACTTTGTCTGTAAGGTATGATTCTATGCCTATGATTATGTTAGGCTGTTACTTGATTAGTCTGTGAGACATGTCTCCCAATTTTGAGGCTAGAGCCCAGATGTTATTAAGAACAACTTTGCAGGCTTGATAGGGCTGCTTTTGCTGTTGTATTTTCTGGTAGATGCCAGATGGTCTGTTCATTGCACATCTTTGGCCTGTGGGAGCACCCGGAGGAAACCCACACATACACAAGAAGAACGCGCAAGCTCCATATAGACAGTCGTCTAAGGGCGGAATCGAACCTGGTGCTGTGAGGCATCAGTACTAACCACTGAACCACCGTGGCACCTCTCATTAAATTTATCATCAGATTTATTCTAATTTCAGGTTTCATTTTGGGTTTAGAGTGAAAGTGAGAGGAATGTCATCAGGTGAATGTAGTGCTATCAGTGATGATCTCTCCATTGGATGCAAGGGATCACTGAATATTTTGTAATAACTTGCCTAGTTAATTAAACCCCTGAGCTATCACAGATACTAGTGGTGGAGCAGGCCAATAACCTTAGCTGGGGTAGCAGAGTGGTTGGAACCACTGCTGGAATCCTCATGGGAACGCACTTTAAGGTCCGAACAACCTTCATCTGGTTTCCAACTGGAGCAGAGGGTAAACTGCTGCTTTGAGAGAATTGGCACTGCAGCTACTGATGCTTCACTGATATTTGAGCTGGACTATTTGGGTATTCCCCTGGTGATTGTTACATTATAGAGCAGAAGGGCTGCTTGTACTGTATAATGATCAAGTTCTGAATACTGAGACTGTCATTTTCAGGCAGACGTAGGTAGATTCTTGATAACTTTTCATTCTATCAGCATTTAATTAGTTTTATTATTGAAAAGCTTGCCCTGTATAACTTTTATAAAATTCTAGCCAGGCTCCACTAAGTTTAAAGCTAATCTCGCAAATCAATGATTCTTTGTTTAGAATTGGCCTTTCCTGAGAAGATAGTGAAACATCTTAGCGTTGGTTGCACTCATGTTCAAATATATAATCTGTCAAAGTGAAAAGAAATGGAATAGAAAGGAGGAAAAAGAAGTGGTGAGGTAACCAAGATGCAAGTGATAGACTCGTTTTTTTTATCAGCAGTGTTGTTTCCAAAGTGGAAAACCGATTTTGCTGGTGACATTAAACACAGCTGCCGTAGGGTCAGTGCACACTTATTCACTGGGAACAATGACGATACGCAATGCAATTCAATCTGTGCTTGAAAAGGAACTTGTTTGAAGTTACTCATCATCTTGAGAAAGGTCTCTTGTCCAAAGCCAATTCCTGGCAAAGAATTAATTGCACTTAAATTTTGTGTATCTGTTGACAACGGGTTGGAAACAGATCTTCAGAATTGCCAGCAAAAGAGAAATGATTTCTCAACTTGTAAAGCAAAACAAGCCAGTAGGCCAACAGTGTCATTACTCCCTTGTTCCTGGATAAAGTGTTAACAAAACAAACAGAATAGAGTATCCAGTCAAGTATTTTTCATTTCATTTGTGAAGAAAGGTCACTTTAACACCAGTCAAAAACTAAGCCTGCAATGGTATCAATGTGGATTTCACAAGTTTCAAAATCTCCCCTCCCCCTACCGCATCCCAAAACCAGTCCAGCTCGTCCCTGCCTCCCTAACCTGTTCTTCCTCCCACCTATCCCCTCCTCCCACCTCAAGCCACACCTCCATCTCCTACCGACTAACCTCATCCCGCCCCCTTGACATGTCCGTCCTCCCTAGACTGACCTATCCCCTCCCTAACTCCCCACCTACACTCACCTTTACTGGCCCCATCCCCGCCTCTTCAACCTGTTTGTTTCCTCTCCACCTATCCTCTCCTCTATCCATCTTCTATCCGCCTCCCACTCCCTCCCTATTTATTTCAGAACCCCCTTCTCCTCCCCCTTTTCTGATGAAGGGTCTAGGCCCGAAACGTCGGCCTCTCTGCTCCTGTGATGCTGCTTGACCTGCTGTGTTCATCCAGCCCTGCACCTTGTCTCCTGCAGTCTGAAGCTCCTTACAGTTAAATCCAGGCTGCACCCCTTCCCTTTAGTCCATATTGTAACTCTCCCCCTATAATTCACCCTACACCTCCCTAATAGTCCACACTGCACGTGTCCACGGTGGCATCCATGTAACCATGTATTTTTCTCTCATTTTAAAATGCATGTTCAATGATAGGTCACCTTGACCTGAAATTTTACATCTTACAGTCTCTAATGACGATTGCTGCTGAGCATTTCCAACATGCTCTGTTTTAAATTCAAATTTTCAGTGTCCACGGTATTTTGCATTTTCGTTGTAAATTACACAAGATGGTGAAACTTTGCTCCTGAGTTAAACAAACCCAACATTACTGGGCCAGGAATAGATCGATGAAACTTGAATTTTGCTCAGGCAAGAATTCCTATGGGCTGCCCTATTGCAGCTTTGAACAGTCGTTACTCTTATCATTTAATTCTCGGACTGGGATAAATATTGTTGTGTTCTGAATGTCAATCAGGAGGATGATGTGGAAATTCGCATTCTCACAGTGGGACACCACAATGGGGAGTTTAAAAATACATTTTCATTCAAAAGTATTGTGCCTTCTAGCTGTGCAGGAAACAAAGACAAGGTTCAGTCTTTTTGGCTTGTACTATTGTGTTCCTGCTGCCCTGTGTTATTGCAGCACTTAGGAATCAGCTTTAACCTAAAGACAAGGATTACAGTATTTTGAGAAGGCAGCTCCTCAACACCATCTCCTCCAGGGTAATTGGGGATGGCCAGTAAATGTAGGCCCAGCCAGCAATACCAACATCCTGTGAACAAATTGTAAACAGTGGCAGCAGGATGGGTATTTGACTAACCAATGGAGCAGATGGAGAATGTGCTGCCCATTCCAGATATGGCAGAATTTAATGCCCTCCTCTTGAGTGAATTCGGAGGTGTGGGTTATTTAATTGGGTGGACATGCTGCTGCCCTCCTGTCCTACCACCAGGTAATGCCCACAAAGGCCTCCTCTTGCCACCACCAGCAGGTGGGCCATTGTCTCTTAAAAAGCCAGGGACCTCAAAAAGCAAACATTTAGCTTGTTTCTTTTGGACCTCCTGGAGATGGGTTCCCTCATTCAAAGGCAGATAGTGCCCAATCAAGAGTCTGTAGTGTTGGAAAGGAGGAAGCCTGCTGAGGGGCAGCCCACTGCATTTTCTTCTAAATCCCTCACACCCCTATCCCACCCTCATTGATCCTGGCCTCTGTGTTAACTCTTGGGCCTCTGTTAGATACACTACCAGCAGCTACCCTGCTCCCTTGGTGGTGCTGCCTATAATGGGTGGCAGCTGACCTCTGGCTGACAGCTGTCAGATTTGGATAGGTGGGGAAATTCCTCCCCAGGGGGAGGTGATGGCCTAGGGGTATTATTGCTGGACTGTTAATCCAGAAACCCCGATAACATTCCGGGGACCTGGGTTCAAATCCTGCCATGGCAGATAGTGGAGTTTGAATTCAACAAAATATCTGGAATTAAGAATCTAATGATGACTGTGAATCCACTGCCGATTGTTGGGAAAACCATCTGATTCACTAATGCCCTTTAGGGAAGGAAACTGCCATCCTTTATCTAGTCTGGCCTACATGTGACTCCAGACCCACAGCAATGTGTTTGTCTCTGAACTGCCCTCTGGGCAATTATGGATGGTCAATAAATGCTGCCTGGCCAGTGATTGCCCTCATAAAGGAAAACTCCCATGGATCCTGGATTCTGCTTCTGTCCAGTTACATGCCAGACTTAACATTGGTGGGCCTTCCTGGGGGGAGGTAACAATGGGCTCTGTGTTTGAGACCCTGTCACCTGCATTTAATAACTCCCATAGCCTCTATTCAAGGATATTCAACTGTAATGGGGTAATATTATACACTGAGGTACAAGTTGCAGCTCATAAAAGATTAATCTACATATGTAACTGTTTCCTTGCGAGGAGCAGTAATTTGAGAAGGAAGCCTGCACCAATATAGGGAATTGGATACAAATTTAGCAACATTTAATCATTGTTGTCGAGTGCACCATTATCTATCACTGACATAATTAAGTGCTGAACTTGCCTCCATAATTAGTGGAGAGGGTGGCCATAATCTTGTTGAATTGTGAGGCAAGCTCGAGGAGCTGAATGGTCTATTCCTGCTCTTATGTCTTGTGACTTTGAGTCGGTCGACTCTTGCTTCATTTGATGCATGTTATGAAGAGAAAGATATCTTTTTTTCAGGGTATCTGGAGGAGAACTGTTTGACTTCTTGGCTCAGAAAGAATCTCTGAGTGAAGAAGAAGCAACTGCATTTATTAAACAAATCTTGGACGGAGTGAACTATCTCCATTCCAAAAACATCGCACACTTTGATCTCAAGGTAGAGTTCCTTTCTGTTATTTAACTCTGTAGAACGTAACTCCTTTTCATGTTTCCAAGGTGCATCATTATTTTATATTTCTCCCACTGTTTAGATTTAAATAGATTGTGTAACTGCTCAGAGGTCTGCACAAAGGCTAAATATGCTCATGGCAAACAACAGTTTTTTTTTAAAAGCCTAGTTGGACGTTCAGTGGTAGCTCTGTCTTGCTTCCCAATTTAGAGGTCTTGTCAACACCATTGTGAGTATTATGGAGGGAGTGCTGCATTGTTGGAGGTGCTGTCCTGAGTCTAAGATGTTAAACTGAAGACTCCTCAGACAGTAAACAATTCAAAATGAACTGGGAGTTCTTCCCAAACCTGAGTTAACATTTATCCTTCAAAATTTCCAATAGTAAAATATGTGCCCCAGAAAGTTTCTGTTTAAAATACTATGAAGACTCATTTGGGCCAAGATGCATCATTTCTCAATTCAGCTGTGAGGCATAATTAAATGATATTGCTGAAAAGAAAAGTGTCAAAAAAATTCCTCTGTCATACATTAGGACAATTCATAAGAAATACCAAAGTAAAGGAAAATTAGCCTTCATACTGAATGAGTGCAGTTTGTTTATTGGTTTGCAAGTAGGCTTGTGATTAGTGGATACATTGCCGTGGAAAATGCACCTATTAATGATGACTAACGGGTCACTGCCATTGTTCAAATATTAAACCAAACAAGTCGAATCTAATTGGTCAAGACATAGTCCTGAGAAACCAGAGAATGACTGTCAACTGTGTAATTCCATTGAACCCAAGTGCAGTGTGCATACATATTTCTTCTGTCTGCAAAGTACAGGGTCAAATGTAGCTTCAGAACATACAAAGCCAAACCCAACTGACAATCCTGAATTGGTTGTGCTGTTTGAAAATTTCTGACTGTCTTTGGAATATATGGCTTACATACCCGGCATCACACTAGACCTAAAATCTGTCCCTTTTGGCCAGAGAGTGCCCTGTCTTCCTTAGATTACTATGGAGTATGGAATCGCTAATGTTTGAGCAATGAGTACAGCTGTTTACATGCTCCTGTTATGCTATATCAACAGGAGTGGTGTTCACCACCAACAGGATACTGCAAAAGCCAAAATGACATTCTGCCTATCACATAAATGAGTAATGTGGTATATGACTTTCAATGCTGGTGTGATGCAAGGTATGTAGTCTGTAAATGCCAAAGGCTCAGATCACAGCCACAAAGGCTCAGCTTAGGATGGGCAATCAGAATCACAATTTAAACTGTTAACTGCCAGTCATCATTAACTAACTGGTGCATTCTCCATGGAAACACCTCAACAAGTCAGAATGTCCTTGCCAGCCAGTCTGCACTCTTCTTTCATACAGTTGAAATGTTCTTTTCCTTTTAACTTTGGTATCTTGCAAGGTGCTCTTATGAGTGCAAGATGGAATGTTTCCACAAAATGACAGCAATATTGAAATTCTATCCTTCCAAGTATACTAATAAACATGAAAAGTATGAGAAATTGTATTGAGAGCATACTGTTTTACAATACTCTGTTTCAGCACTTTTTTGTTTTTGCTGAGGTGGGGTTCCAAGCCTTTGCTAAGCTTCAAAGTGACATACTTCAATAACTCTCAGAACTGACAGCTCGGCATCAAACTGGGCTTGATGAATGCTATGTTATGAATATTCTTCTTTTGAAATATGTTTTCAGCCAGAAAACATTATGCTTCTCGACAAGGTACCTGTGCCACATATCAAGTTGATAGACTTTGGCCTCGCTCACACAATTAAGGATGGAGTTGAATTTAAAAACATATTCGGAACCCCTGAATTTGTCGGTAGGTCCTTTTTAAAACTACAATTTTCATAATTTCGGCTGTAGACCAGATATATTCGAAAGAAAAAAAGATGCTTTGTAAGTAGGGTAAGATGTTGAACAATATGTAGTTAAATTAAGGCCGAATGTCAGAATAATTTATTGTTGTGTTTGGTAGAACTCAATGGGGTGTCGTTGGTATGGTGTGGACCCTGGTCACGCAGATTCACATTCATCACTCGTTATACTTCCAGTGATACTCATATGCCAACTGTGTTTGCTGGGTGTATAACAACAGTTAATGTGGTACTATCCATTTTATATTCACGTCCTTGTCCAATTTCACCCCCAGTGTATTCAATGTAGTACTTTTTTCTGACTTCCAAGGTACCAGAGGTCTCCCACACTGAATTGAAACTTGGGAGAATACTATACAAAGCATTTAGCATGCAACTCACAAGATGCCAGTTACTGCTGGTGCTGTAGAACTATTATAGAATATAGTTTCCAATTCAGTGTGGGAGACTTAGAATGAGAAGGGGATGACATTGGTTTAATTGAAGCAGACAGCACCCTTCTGTCAGACCTAGTTAATCAATGTGAAAGGCAATGCAAATTAAACAATATTAGCAAGAAAGTGTGCCTATGAACAGGGGACAGGAGACTGCTGTTCACAATTAACACCCTGTATGTATATGAGCAATGCTTCAGCAGGTAAGGATTTAACCATCATAGGCCTCCATGTCTACAACAGGCCTTGCGGTGTTCCTAGAATAAGGACCACACTCAGAATAGTTAAAGGACAAAAGATTCTGGCTATTCCTAGAAATAATATGAGAAATGAAGAATCCAGAAAGGAAATGGTATCACAGAAGTGAAAATGGAAATGAAACTCTAGATCTGCCTGTTCTGCAATAATGATGTTTGGTATGGGAAATATGCCTGTCTGTCTTTCCACCACCTCCCCAATTATTTGCACACTCCTTGTATGTCTCTGTAAGACATGTAAATGTTATTCTAACCCTGTACAGTCCCTTTACTGTTCATTTTGGTTAGTGCTTTCTCCTCACACTCACTCACTTTTTCAGAATTCTTTTGATTAGATTTCAGAATCTTCATCTGGTCTGCCTTCCTAATACTTTCTACCCGTCTCTGATATTCTTTTGCCATCAGTCAATGAGAGATTCCAATGAATCCATTGCCTCCCACAGATCCTGTATCTTCTCATCCTGCCTTTGTTGCCAAGAATGCCATCCCTCTCTTCTAGCATCTCCGTCTGATGATTTCACTTTGCGCCCTGGAGTTTCTGAAATGTTGTCCTGCCTACCCCACTAAATGCCCACCCTGTACATCAAGTGTTTCCTGTTCATATAGTCAACAGAATCTTTGACCATGTTCACCCATTTCCGTGGTTCCCACTTCCCATTTTCAACACCTGTGCACCCCACAAGACTTCAGCAATGATATTGGAGGAACTATTCACAAACAATGGTGTTGATTTAATCTTGTAGGAACATATATTTAAAGTTCACGTGTTTTTGATGGAATTTGTGAAATAGATTTCATATTACCAATCTTAAATTTTTTTTATATATTCCAGCTCCAGAAATTGTGAATTATGAGCCTCTTGGACTTCCTGCAGATATGTGGTGAGTAAACAAAATGCATAGACAATTCTTTTGAGAGATGAGTGAAACCAAATATCATTCACAGCCCAAGCTAGATAGTCTTTCAAGAATACAAACTTTCCTTTTCCACCTTTTTCTCTAGTGGTTTAAATGGGCCAGAGAAGTTGTACAGTGAATGTTAACACACCAGCTTCTCATATTTTAATAAAACTGTTGTTTATAACATTATAATTAAAATAAATTTCACCAATTTTGACAGTTTTGCTAAGTTAATATCCCTACAGTGCAGAAGCAGGCCATTTGGCCCATCGAGTCCACACTAACCCTTAGAGCATCCCACTCAGACTCACACCCCAATCCTATACCTGTGACCCTGCATTTTCCATGGCTAATCCACCCACCCTGCACATCCCCAGATGCAATGGGCAATTCAGCATGGCCACTCCACCTAACCTGCACGTCTTTGGATTGTGGGAGGAACCCACGCAGACACTGAAGGATTGTGCAAACTCCATAAAGATAGTCACCCAAGAGTAGAATCAAACCGTGTCCCTGGCGCTGTGAGGCAGCAGTGCTAACCACTGAGCCACTGTGCTGCTCCTGATACTAATGACACCAGCTTGATGTCTGAGTAGCTGAAATATCCAATCTTTTACTGTAAGGTCATTGCTAATTTCAGGATGCAAGCGCCAGTGAGATGACCCAGGAGATTTGAATTTCCCTGACCCTGTCAACATCTAAGAATCGATAAAGAATCAGTGATGGCTCAAATTTAGTTAGTGTTTAAATAGGACACTCTAAACCATTTTCTTTTAATCTAATGTAACCAAAGACAATGGCTACTAACCAAATTACATTAAATTTTGAAACTGCTGAGAAGGTTATAATCTTTATATTTATATGTTTATTTATGCAGTGGTTCTTTTGTTTAGGAAAGTAGGAAACTATTGAATCTGTAATTTTAAACATTGATAACTCTGTAATCTCTTGAGCTAAAGGCTGGGCCATTGAATACATTCAAGGCTCAATTAGAGAGATTCTTTAACAAGAGTGTTGAGGGTCATGGAGACAGTCTGGAAATTGGAGTTGAGGCCACAACCAGATCAGTCCTGATCTTAATGAATGGTGGAGCAAGTTCGAGGGGCCAAGTGACCTGTTGCTGTTCCTGTTTTATGTGCTACATTAATGATCCGAGATATCTGCTCATCCAATTCTGCCTTCTGGAACATCCCTGATTTTAATCACTGTCATCTTTGGTGGAGACATACCTCTATCACTGAGACCCTGAGCTCTCTAATTTCCTCCCTTGGTCTCTCTGCCTCACTTCCTTGCTTCTCTTCTTTAAAATATTCCACAATTTGGAATTATCCCTTTACCCAAGCTTTTGATCACTTGATCAATACCTTCTAATATTTCTTGGTATCATATTTCGTTTTATAACGATCCTGTGAAGAACTGTTAAACTTTTCACAACTTTAAAAGTGCTATATAAATGTAAGGTGTTGCAAATGTTAGACATATTCTGGCACATTAAAGGAATTTTTATTTATGGTGATTTTAAATATTGTGCAGCTTCAGTTTGATGTTTTATTTTGCAGGAGCATAGGAGTCATTACCTATATACTGTGAGTATGACACACATTATTTACAAATACTGACATTTTTAGCAGTTTGGGGTGAACCGCTTTCTGGTTTTTAACCTGTGAATTTGATTTGTCGCCCGTGGAGCAGGTTAAGTGGTGCTTCCCCTTTCCTCGGTGACACGAAGCAAGAAACCCTTGCCAACATCTCCGCAATGAATTATGACTTTGATGAAGAATTCTTTAGCCACACCAGTGAACTGGCAAAGGACTTCATTAAAAAGCTTCTGGTGAAAGATACCAGGTGAGGAATTACACTTGGATCAAGTGAATGTTAGGAGGATAGGATCTTCAAGATTCAGGAACTTTTGTAATTAGTGTCAATTGATAAAATCATTTAGTTGAGGCATTTATTGATCACTCCAAGGGTAGGAACACTGAAATTATCAGTTAGGAAAGCCAAAATGTGCAGAATTAGTTTTGTGTTCATAAATTCTAAGTAAACTGGTGTAAAAACAAAATGCTATTTTTAAGTAAAGAACAGGTTATGGTGCTATTTTGTTCCCTTCGTCTCCACATACGAAGGGGAGATTGCCCATCAGTCTGCTCTCAATCATCAGTAACGTGTTGAATGTGTCATCAACAATGCTATCAAGCAGCACTTGCTTAGCAATGACCTGCTCACTAACACCCGATTTGGGTTCCACCAGAGCCAATCAGTTCCTGACTTCATTACAGCCTTGGTTCAAACATGGACAAAAGAGCTGAACCCGTTGTGGCCTCCTCTACATCGGGGAAACCAAGCGGAGGCTTGGGGACCACTTTGCAGAACACCTAAGCTCGGTTCGCACTAAACAACTGCATCTCCCAGTCATGAACCATTTCAACTCCCCCTCCCATTCCTCAGACGACATGTCCATCCTGGGCCTCCTGCAGTGCCACAATGATGCCACCCGAAGGTTGCAGGAACAGCAACTCATATTCCGCTTGGGAACCCTGCAGCCCAATGGTATCAATGTGGATTTCACAAGCTTCGAAATCTCCCCTCCCCCTACCGCATCCCAAAATCAGTCCAGCTCGTCCCCGCCTCCCTAACCTGTTCTTCCTCCCACCTATCCCCTCCTCTCACCTCAAGCCGCACCCCCATTTCCTACCTACTAACCTCATCCTGCCCCCTTGACCTGTCCGTCCTCCCTGGACTGACCTATCTCCTCCCCACCTACACTTACTTTTACTGGCTCCATCCCCGCCTCTTTAACCTGTCTGTTTCCTCTCCACCTATCTTCTCCTCTATCCATCTTCTATCCACCTCCCCCGCTCTCCCTATTTATTTCAGAACCCCCTTCCCCTCCCCCATTTCTGATGAAGGGTCTAGGCCCAAAACGTCAGCCTTCCTGCTCCTGTGTTGCTGCTTGGCCTGCTGTGTTCATCCATCTCTACACCTTGTTATCTCAGATTTTCCAGCATCTGCAGTTCCTACTATCTCTGAACTCAAGAGGTGATGTGGGGTGAGAGTGACTGCCCTTGATGGCAAGGCAGCATTTGACTGACTGTCAGATCAAGGAGCCCTAGCAAAATTGGAGTCCATGGGAACTGGGGGGAGTCTCTCTCTACTGGTTGGAGTCATACCTGGCACATAGGAGGATGGCTGTCATTGTTGGAAGTCAGTCATTTCAGTTCAAGGACATCTCTGAAGGAGTTTCTCAGGGTAGTGTCATGGGCCTAACCATCTTCAGCTGCTTCATCAATTATCTTTCTTCTATCCCAAGGTCAGAAGTGAAAATGTTCATCGTGCAAACACCAATGTTAATATTTGCAGCTCCTCAGACACTGAAACAGTCTGTGCCAATTTGAAGCAAGACCTGGACAATATCTAGATTTAGGCTGACAAGTAACATTCACCCACGCAAATGGCAGGAGGTGACTGTCTCCAACAGTGAGAATGTAGCCCTCACCTCTTGATGTTCATTGGTATCACCGTCACTGAATCCCTCACGATCATCATTCTAACGTTTACCGTTGACCAGGAACTAAACTGGACCAGCCATATAAATACAGTGGCTACAAGAGCAGGTCAATAACAAGGAATTCTGCAGTGAGTAATTCACCTCCTGACTCCCTAAGTTGTGTCCAGGTTCTAAAACAACATCCAAGGGAGGTTGTCGCCATCCAGGAAAAAGCCGCTTGATTAATTGGCACCCAACTCAGCACCTACAATGTTTACTCCCTCCCCCACTGATGTATGGTGGTAGCAATGTGTACAATCTACAAAATCCACAGCATTAACTCACCAAGGCCCCTTCAACAGCACCTTCCAAGTCCATGACCACTTCTATTTAGAAGGGCAAAAGCAGCAGGTACAGAGAAATACCGGCACCTGCAAGTTCCCTTCCAAATCATGCTTGAAAATATATCATTGTTCCTTCAGTGTCACTGGGTCAAAATCTTGGAAATCCCTAACAACACTGTTGGGGTCCCGACACCAAATGGACTGCAGCAATTCAAGAAAGCAGCTAGCCACTGTTTTCTCAAGGACAACCATGGTTGAGCAATAAATGCTGGCCCAGCCTGTGATGTGCACACTCCACAAATGAATAAATTATAATTAAAAAATGCTTGACATGTGAGGAATTCTTGGCAACCTATTCTGTTTAATAATTTATCATTATTCTGCTTCATCACATGTTCTCTGCTTCATCCTTCAGCCTGTTTTCAATACAAACACAGGAAAGATCTTGTCTACTGAAGCACTTATGAAATATAGTCACTCTTACGCGATAGGAAATGCGATGAACACTTTGGGCACGGCAAGCTCTCACATTTTACTGTTGAGGTTGTTTATTTTGATGATGAATATGAGTAGATATGATGTCCGGGTTGACTCTGATTGGTCAAGACGTGCCTGTTGCCTCGCAGGGATCCCATAGGAATAGCATAGCATCATTGAAACAGAGCTGAAATGCTGACTTCAGAAGTTTAGTGAAAATTGATTCCTAGATTATATATTGCTGAAGCAAAGTGGTTTATACTTCGAGTGGCATATTGGTGAATAGGCCAGCAATTTCAAATGACCACATGGACACAGCATTACAGTTGGTATCCTAAATCCATATATTGTACATCCCAAAGACTAGTGGATTCTGTCAAACAAGTCCCTGCCCTTTGAAGACCTTTGTCCTTTGCTGCTTGTTATGTACATTTAAAGGCTTGAATGTGAATGGAGAAGGTATAATTAATAAGCTTTCAGATGACACAACTATTGGTGTGTTGTCTATAGTGATGAGGATGGTCTCAGACCACAGTCTGATATTGATCATATTGAAATTGGTCAGAGCAATGGCAGATGTAATTTAATCCTGATAAGGGTGAGGTGATGCATTTTGGGAGGTCTGATAAGGGAAGGAGATACACAATGATGGTAGGTCCCCAGGGAGTACTGAGGAACAAAGGGACCTTGGGTGTACAAGTCCATAGGTCCCTGAAAGTGTCAGCACAGGTAAATAGGCTGGTGAAGAAGGCATATGGATGCTTACATTCTACAACCCAGCCAATGAAGGTAAGAGCAAAGAAATCCTCTAACTTTCTAGAGCTTTGATTAGGCCTCAGATGCATTCTGTGTGCAATTGTGGTTGTCATACTGTCAGAAGAACATGATTGTATTGGAGAGGATACAGAGGAGATTCACTAGGATATTGCCTGGGATGAAAAGGCTCAGTTATGAAGAGAGACTGGATAGGTTGGGTTTGTTTTTCCTGGCGCAGAGGAGGCTGAGGGGATCTGATTGAGGTGTACAGAAGCATAGGCAGAGTGGATTGTGAGAATTATATCCCGTGGCAGAAGTATCCACACCAGAGGCATAAATTTAGTGTGAGGAGCAAATGGTTTAGAGGAGATTTGATGCACAACACTGGAAGAGAGAGAATCATTTATTCATGTTGGGGGTGAGGAAAGTGTAAAAGATTAGCTTAGTGTCAGACTGTGACTTTGCAGTCTAGCTTCTTGAAGAGAGAAGAATCAATGTGGGAATGTCAGTTAGTGTTACCAGAATACAAGTATTCCACCTTTTCCAAAATAAATTCACTTAATAATTTAAAGTTTTTAAGAAAAAGGGTTTGATTGATCCATGGCTGTTCAAAGAAATGACATTAATTGTGTGAATTGAATGGGATAATTTCAAGATTTAAAGCTTGTAAATAGAAATGTTGTCCTGCACATCATCCTAAATTACCAAGCCCTTATCCGGATGTCTTTAAAAGCAAAGACAAGTGGGAATAATTTAAAAATTATCTCAAATTTAAAAACTGTTTTTAGAAGAAATGAGAGTAATGAAAGATTCCAAAATGCAATTGTTATCACTAAATAATTGTTCAAATTTTGGTAAGGTCTGAGAATTCTAAAATATCCCTTATCTCCCAGCATGCCACCTCCTACCTCATGTTAGAAATATTGTTTCTGTTTGTGACTGATAAGCTTCCTTCTAAACTAACCATGCAGGGATGCAACATTATTTTTATTACAACATTACAGTTATAGTCAAATGTGTTTTGATGTATTTTGCTGATTTTTATAGGGCCTAATTTAATAATGAAATAAAATTTTACATATGTGCTTTTATATGATGATGTTTCATTTTATTCAGGAAAAGGCTAAGCATTAAAGAAGCTCTTTCACACCCATGGATAATGGTGAGTGTTAACATTCATGTCAAATTGAATCAAATTGAATTGTATTTTCTGTTGACAGCTATGCGATGTTGTTATTTATCTGCCTGCACATTAACTTGCACGCAGTGAAGTAATTGCAGTGATCTTCATCTTTACATCTCACCAGTACTTTAAAATATTGGTTTCCTTGACCTTTTCAGATTCATTTTCTTTCATTTTTTTCTTAAGCTGTTGTTTTATTTAATGCCACTCATGCAATGTTATGGGATGGGGAACTGTTTCAAATACTGTTTTATATTTGGCATTGAAATCTAAGTCGGTGTCTGCAGCAAGCCAATCACGCTATAATACATGGAGCGTTGGGACGAACTGTTTATTTGCAGTTCTTGTGTTTATTTTAGTCATAATATACTCATTCATTTAATTCATCTGTAACCTGGAAGCCAACTAGAATTCTAATTCATATCTGCATTAAATATGAAACTAACCCATCAGTTTGCATGTTATGGTAAGTAGTGAGTGCTGTTTGAAATGTTATTGTGTGTCCCACTGCACAGTCTTTAACGTGGAAGGGTTTGTATGGAATGCCACTAACTGTCTTGGTTGTGTGAAGTGCTCAAATTGGACTTGGAGCTCTTTGCTGTCATCTAGATTTGTGCTACATCTGTACAACATACCCATGTGCATTTTAATTATTTCTCAATAATCTGAAACCCTTCTGTCTGACCCACTGAAGTCTCATCAAAAGAAAGTACAGAGAAACAAGGAGAGCAAGAAACAGCATCACAGGCAGCTGAAGACCAAACGTCTGAAAGAATACACCATCAAATCCCACTCGAGCATGCCACCCAATAACACGTATGTGAACTTTGAAAGATTTGCCAAAGTGGTAGAGGACCTCTCTGTGATGGAGACGACCTTCAGTGGGCTTACTTCATCACACGATTCTCTTCAGGAAGATATTGATGCATTGATTTCAATCTATAATGAAAAGGAATCCTGGTACAAGGAAGAAAATGAAAGTGTCCGACATGATCTTTCCCAGATTAGGTACGAGTATCGTAAAGCTGAATCCAAGAAGAAGCAGCTCCAAGATGAAATAAAAGGTGTGAATAACATGCTGAATATAGTCAATGCAAAATATGATGAACTAAAATCCCATTTTGAATCTCTGAGCCAAGAGATCTCTGCTGAATTGAAATGGGTCCAGGAAGTAATCGCCTCTTTTCAGACTGAATATATGAATGAAGGATACCTGGATGGAAACTTTGCTTCTGTCTTCAACAAAGATCTGAATGAAACCCTAAAGGATCTGTTAAGTGGCACATGCAATGGAAAACTTATTGCCAGCCTAACAGCATCAGAGCCAAGTCGTTAAAGTTAACTAAAAGAAGTCTGATGACACCAGGTCCATATATGATGTTAAGACATAGGAAAATTTTAACATTTTGCTCAGACCATCCTGGAGAAAGAAAACAGTTTGAAGCAAATGTATTTCAATTAAAACAAAGTACTCAGGATGCTGGAGATCTGAAATAAGAACAGAAAGTGCTGGAGAAACTCAGAAGGTCTGACGGTATTTGTGGAGAGAGAAACAGAGCTGATATTTCAAACCCAATATACAACATAATATATTATAAATTTTGGAATGGTTCTGATATGTAATATCATATTTATCTGTAATATATAATTTACATAGTATATTAATGTTTCAGAATGAAGGAGAGCAGTACTGGACTCAATGTTAGCTTGGTTTCTCTCTCCACAGATGCTCCAGACTGCTGAGTTTCTCTGACACTTTCTGTATTTCATTTTTATATTTGTTTTATACTTCTACTTTATTTAAATTCTGAATAGGGCAAAATTCGAGTATTTTATCGTCAAAATTGAGAACTATTTGTGTTAACTTTTATCTGTTCGACTGGCTTTCAACAAAAAAAAATCAGAACAAGTTCAATTTTTGGACTCCTTTTCAGCATCGATTTTTAATCAAGTTGAATGAAGCACACGTAAGCAAAACGATAAACAAAACAAAAAAACGATTATTAACCAAAGCGATGGAAGGGTAAATTCAACAGTTCCGCACTCCCAGCGAAGAGATTGCCCTCCAATTTGTCAGTTAGAAAATCGGTTTTTCTCCAAAGTATTCTTCTTTTAGTCTTGGCTTCCACTGAGTGTGTGGAATTTATCAAATAATTAGAAGTGGTGTACAATGTTAGTGTTCCACAATCTTTTAGTTTTACATGTATCTATTTCTGTGTTGATTTATGGAAGAATTTGATCTGAGTGATGTGGGACTGAAGAATGAGGATTATCTTTTCAACGATGTGACCTCTGTCTGTGGATGGCTAGTAACGGATTGATTAGGATAGTGATTATATCTGAAGTGAATTAACTAACTTGTATGTATTTAGGATTACAAACCCAATTGCTATAACTGATCACTTTTTTAGTTGCTGCTGAGTTCCTTACTGATCAAGTACAAAAGTTCAACCTGTAGTTGACCTTTTGAATTATCAGACCATGAACAAGAGAATTCCTCCTGTCAGCTCAGCAAAAATGATGGAGCTGGTGGAAATGAAACTACATCATATCCCTTCGACAAGCAATTTGATGCCTTTTTAGAACATGCAATATTTCATCATGAACCCTGGTGGGCTGGAAAATACATTCAGTAGAGGTCAAGTTGACTTCCATTGAATGTACTTTATTCTTGCCCTCAAAGCACAAATGAGGCTTTGGGTAATTGGACAGGTACCTGATGTTTCCTAGGTATCACATTACGGGTGGTGCCAGGACAGGATTAAGCTAAATTAGCATAGTTTATTGACTGCTTTTTTTTTGACACAATCTTGGGAACGAGGTTGAGAAATTACTGTGAATTATGCTATGGCATAAACACTAGGCGTGTTCATCAAATTCTCCTCTGTGCCTAACTGAGATGTTAGGTAAGATTTTAACTTGCTCAACACATATCCACATTGCAGAATTAAAATCAGGCCCATTAACTCATATAAAATATGGGAGTTCAAACAGTGAAAAGTTGAATTTTGTTATCAGCATATCAAGTGCTGGAACAGTAACAGTAAGTGGAAGGCATCTTTAATCTCTGTCATACTATACATTATTTCCAATGGTCACAGAAAGTTGAGGGTTTCTCTGATACACAGTAAGTTTGCCTGGAAGTTAAATCCTATTCTGTTGGTACCTTTTTTAAGAATGTGCCTAGTTTTGAAACATCACTTGTGATTTATCCTTGCATTGGAGGCACTTTTAGTCCTTGGGCAAGAATCAAAACCACTTTGAGGTTGTCTTCTATACATCTACTGGCATGTATACCAATGAATACACCAAAAACAGGGTATTAACCATTACCTTTCATGACTTTCTACTGTGCTATATCAAGTCAACAATTTCCTTCAGCATGTAACAACATCTGAGATAAAGAAAGAACTTTCTTTTGTAAAGCACTCTTCATGAGGATATGCTGAAGTTCTTCACAGTCAATGTAGTACTTTTTGAAACATGAGCCCGTTACGTTAACAATTGGACATTCTCCTGGAAGTTTGAAGAATCAGTCCTGATATTTACTTTTCCAGGGCTTAGTGCAAGTATGGAGATTAAGTGACCAAATCACTGGGGATTGGCTGCTAGACTCTTGGGTAGAAATGCAAGTTATAATGTTTTGTAGTTTATGGGAGACCAATTGGAACAATGTCCCTTCCTAATTGCAGTCAGGGACCAAGCACACACTGGCGGCTACACCATTTATAAGAGTTCATTAATTATGGCAGGCTCAGTTAAAACACAACTTCATTTTTGAAAATGTTTACAAGACGGTCACACCTGCCGATATGTATTTGCATGTCACACATGCTAATCAATGTTCTGCTCCTCTAACACTGTTAATGAAATTGCTTCCTGTATTTTATCAGTTTAAAAAATTCAAATTAACTAGTGTCTGAGGCAGGTTTAAATAACTGCCAGGGTATTTAAAAATTAGCTGAGCTTATCTTTATTTTTCTTTGGGAAGAACTTTTCCAGGCTAAATGAGGAGGATTCAGATCACCAAAAAGTGACTTAGGCCCAGGGTGCTGACATCATCCCACTGAGAAGTTTTCTCAAAGGAAACTGACAGATTTTGCTGGCTGACTGACATTTTTAAAATTGCACCCTCTTTGCTCTATGCCTGTCTCTCTGCCTGGTCTCGCTCGCTTTCTCTCACTTGTCTCTTGGCCTCCCTCTGGCCCCTCAGTTTCCTTCTCTGCTAGTCTCTCTCATTCCCCTCCCTGTTTGCATGTCTCTCTTGCTTTCCCCTCTGTCTGTTGGTCATCTTTCCCCCTTCTTCCACTGTCTATCTGCCTGTCCCTTGCTGACCCCTCTATCTGTCTGCCTGCCTGTGTCTCTCGCTCCCCTCCTGATCAGGCAGTGATAACCTTTAACACTCCCACACCATTCTGACCAGGTGGACTGGGTATAATAGAGGTTGAGCTATTCTAGGGCCAAGAAGAATACAGTAAATACCTTGAATATATTAAACATGACCTTTGTCTGGATGCCCTGCCCGATCTTCCCAAAGGTCTGCAGGTCAAGAACTGATCTGTTCAGTCACACAACGATCCATGGAAGAAGCCCACCTACCCTGAGTAGACATCATCCAGGGACAGGCAATGATGACTGAGATTGAGCTAGCATTGAGATGGAGGATCTCATTCCCAATAAAATCATGGAAAAGGGTCTAGTGTTCTGCTGGCTCTAAGTTAGTGTGGGCTCTTTGGCACAAATTGCGATTCAATCTACTCAGCATAGGCTCTGAAATTAGCCTCCTGTTGTCTTAAGTTATCTAACCGTTGCGATCCTTCTATTCCTTGCCCCCACATAGTCTTATAGAGACATAGAGATCTATAGCATAGGAAAAGCCCTTTTGACCCATCCAGTCTGTGCAAACAAAAACAAACACCTAACTATTCTGATCCCATTTTCCACCACTTGGCCCATAGCCTTGTCCGCTTGTGATGCCAAGATATACTACTTAAATATTATGAAGGTTTCTGTCTCCACCTTATTTATAGACGGTGAATTCCTGATTCCACCACCCTCTGGGTGGAAAGGTTTTTCCTCTGATCCGTTCTAAACCTTACCTTAAATCTAAACTCCTGGTCATTGATCCCCCCATCAAAGGGAAAAGTTTCTTGTCTACCCTATCTATGCTCCTCATAATTTTATACATCTCAATCATGTTGTCTCTTAATCTCCTCTGCCCTAAGGAAAAGAACCCCAGTCTGTTCAATTTCTCTTCATAACTGAAACTCTCCACCAAGGCAACATCATGGTAAATCTCCTCTGCACTCTTTCCAATGCAAACACATCTCTCCTATAAATGTGGATTCCAGAACTGCAACACTTTATTTAACTTTATTTTAAATGCATCCATGATATTTTTCTTAACAGGTCCATGTAGCGGCATTAACAACTGCCATATGTTTATAATCTCACCCCCAAACCCTCATTAAAACAGATTGACTGTGTCTACTCTATTGAATCCTTTTCAGGATTTTAAAGACCCTATCAAGTCAATTCTGCCATTTCTTTCCAAGAGGAAACAACCACAGCTGGATGTTTTGGACCTATGTATTAGTCACAATTCTGGAATTTGCTTTCAGGTCCTGATTACTTTATTGGGGGTTTCAAATTGTGCCAATCAGAAATCTGAGTGGTTTCAATTTCTGCCAGTTATCAAAGGATATCATCATCTATTTAACTACATCATACTCTGAATGGCATTGTTTAAATCATCAACAGATTCCTGGGTAACAGCTTGTTCATGAATAACAAACATTTTGTGACCTTGAACTCCTTTCATTCTGAGCCTTTAACTCCAAAATATACTAACGCTTTCCTTTAGTTTTGCTGGGTTTCGAGGATTGATCCTATGGTCACAATTAGTGTTGCCAACGAGAAAAATGTTGAAGATGCAGTAAAGGCTGTTTTATCCAATGTCTCGCTGCATAAAGGTGGTGCATTATTAAGAAAAAGTTAACCTCTTGTGTGCTGATTATTTTCTTTTGTAAGTGTATATCATTTGATGTCTTGCTGTGCTTTCTGTTGCTATGTCTTATCTTTCTTGTAAATAAATTTGATTATCACTTTTAACCTGAATGCAATAGTGTGATCATAATCACACTATCTGGAGTCAAAACACAATCCAACTTGGTCTGTAGAATGAGATACTGCAGTTAAGATCATAGATCCCTACAGTGTGGATACAGGCCCTTCAGCCCAACAAGTCCACACCGACCCTAAGAGCACCCCACCCAGACCCATCCCCCTATAACATACCTAATTTACATATCCCTGAACACTACAGGCAATTTAGCATGGCCAATCCACCTAACCTACACATCTTCGGACTGTGGAAGGAAACTGTAGCACCCGGAGGAAACCCACGCAGATGCGGGGAGAATGTGCAAACTACACTCGGACAGCCACCCGAGGGTGGAATTGAACCTGGGTCCCTGGCGCTGTGAAGCAGCAGTGCTAACCACTGAGCCACTTGTGCACTTGTTACATAAGGTACCTGGTAGTCTTGCTCTGCCTCTGCAACCTGCTTCCCCATGA